TTTTAAACACATTAACATTAACAAAGGAGATTTACTACTTATCTAAGGTGATGATGATGTTCAAATGACATTTAAACTGTTTATTCCATTAACTACCATGACATGACAACTAGAAAGTGGGACGTTTATTTCCCAAATTGGAGATATGATACATGACCAAAGATATAGAAAGTAATCTTGTAATAATGGTACTACAAAAAAAAAAAAAAAAAAAGGAACTTTTTTGTACCTTAGGTTTATGTTTTCTTTATAAACAAAATTGGTCATTATGTATTGGCAAATTCACAATGACAAGATGTAAAAGTAAAACACAACCCCACTGCCAGCAACTTGTTTTTAATGTTCAACGGTTGATAAAATGGAAGAGTAACTCCCAACAGTTATTAATGATTTACTTATTAATTACTATCTCTTGTTGTAGCTCTAGGCCTGTAGCTTATTATGTGATGGAGCATTTGTTTATCACAAGTACCTGTACAACAAGAATTTACTGTTGCCGTTTACTGCCGCACATCCCGAGAGACCATAGCAGCATCGATATCCTTTTCATTTATTAAAAAAAAAAAAAAAAAAAAAAGACCTGACCTCATTTGCAAAAGGTTTTAGGAAACAAACCGTTTCTTTTATTTTTTTCAGACATTTAAAAAATAAATAAATAAATAAACACCATTTACGAAAATATTGTAATTCTAAATTTCAAAGTGGTCGAAGGGGGTGTCGCACATAAGAAAAAATTGAAAATAAAGTAAATTTTTTATTTTATATTATTACCTGAAAATCAGTTTCGAAGTCCCTCCCTAAACGATATATTCCCAATCGGTGCTTGTAATTTTTGAAGAATGGAAGACAAGTTAAGGTCACCAAATGTGGTAGGTAGGTCGAGCTAAGGCTGCACGGTCTCGTTTTTTTTCACAGGTGGTAAATTCATGTCACATAGATTTTTAACTTTTTACCTATGAAGAATTTTGTATTAGGATACGGTGTTGAACTTTGCAGTCGGTAAAAAATAAAGAAAAAGAGAATTTTCAACGTTAAATGAAGAAAGATACCAGTGAAAGTTTATCACTGAACTTTAACGCCGTAAAAAAAATAGGTTGAGGGACTGTGTTTACCAGCAGTAAAACTTGCCAACTCAGCATGTCGCTGGTGAAAACTCTACCATACCCCTCAGCCTAAGAGCTGAAATATGTTTACTTATATAGTTTTGTTGGTATTAGAGTCATGTTCTTTATAATGGCTTTGAGAATAATTAATTAGTCTGCATTTTAAAGTCAAATGATCTTTATCATAGTCGATGATGTACACCAACAAAGAAAGAAAACGTGTTAACTTTTTTATAATTTCACAAAAAAATGTTTTTTTACTATAATTTTGAACCCAATTTTTCGAAATATAAAGTTTAAATCTTATAAATTCATAGGAAAGGCCTTTAGGCCTTGTGGTATACAACGAATCGATTCGTGGTCTAGTTGGCCACAAGAAAGGCTTGTACACACCACCCCGACATTCCGTGGTCGGGCGTGGTCGTGATCCTTCGTGTTCCCGACAACGAATTCAAACGAAGAAGGTGATTGGTGGTTGGTTTTTTTGGCCGTTGAACGACTATTTTGCCTATTTCTTTTTATTATTATTTGTTCTTTCAAACTCAATTCAGTAACATAAATAAACTTTTTAATTTAACCAAAACGTACACCTCATTCTAACCTTCATTCTCTAAAACCACAGAACACATATACATGGCTTCCACAAAACATATGGAATTTATAAAAACTTTTGACTCGGATGACAACGTAAAATTCGTCAAGACATTCTTCAACGTTGTGCAACACATTCACAACGAAGAAAGTTCGAATGATGCTCGTACAAGGGCGGTCGTCAATCGTGATCGTCAAGCCGCACACAACTTATTGATATGTGATTACTTGGCCGATAATTGTCTTTATAATGACGATTCGTTTGAACGTCATTTCCGTCTGAATAAAGCTATATTTTTACGTATTAGTAATGTTTTAAAATATCGTTATGGTTTTTTCAAACGAAAACCTGACGCTAGAGGAAGAATGAGTTTTATTAGTATACAAAAATGTGCGACTGCTCTTAGGTATTTGGGATACGATATAACATTTGATGCATCTGACGAATAATTGAAAGTATCCGAGAGGATGATAGTTGAATGTGTAGATTGGTTTTCTGCATGTGTTTATGAGGTTTTTCACGAAGAATATTTGCGCAAACCAACTCAACGTGATATTGAGAGATTATATTCGGCTCATGAAGAGAGTCATGAATTTCCGGGTATGCTTGACAGTCTAGATTGTACGCATCTGGCTTGGGAAAAATGTCCAAATGCATGGCGTGGTCAGTTCGCTCGAGGAGATATAGGTGAACCAACTATCATTCTAGAAACCACAATGATGATTTGTGTAATTTTGTCTAAATATAATTTAATCAGCAAAAAAAAGATGAAAGTTGTTTTTCAAAAAGCAACGAAATACATATGTAAATGTAATATACCTTTATTACAATTTGGGTTTTTGATATTAGGGATGAGCAAAAGGACCGAACAGGCCGGAATCGGACCGGAACCGGGAACCGGCTTCGGCCAAAATCAAGAACCGAACCGGCCCGGCGGTTCTATTGGTTCCCGGTTCCTACCGGTTCTTGTCGTGTCTTCAAATGTTGGAATCGGTCATTGAAAAATAGCATCATACGGTTCCGGTTTTTACCGGTTTTTGCCGGTTCTACCGGTTTCGGTTATATCGGTTCCGGTTCCTACCGGTTTCCGGTTCTAAAAATCCACAAAAATAACGTTCCGGTCCCGGCCCGACCGGTTCCATTGGGTTCCGGTCGGTTCCCCGGTCCATTTGTTCATCCCTATTTGATATAAAAGTTCTTAAGTTTGTCAAAATGTAACGATTTCGTTAATGAGACGATGTTAGGTATGTTAATGCCTAAAGTAATCTAAGGTTTGCTTTTTTTGTTTATTTGTTTGTTTTTTTTTTTTTTTTTTTTTTTTTTTTTTACAAATTTTGAAGAAAAAAAACTCAAATATGAAATCAAATTTGTAAAATAACTTTAAGTTTACAAATCTTTTTATGTTTTTACCCTAATTATATTTTTTAAATTTGACATGAAATCTTTAAGTTTAATAAGTTTTATCGATTTTGTCTCTGAAAACTTGCTATTATAAGTAACAAGAACAAAAATAATAATAAATAAAAGGGTAAATTACACCATTCGTCCCTTATGTATGTGTCCAAAAGCATGTTTAGTCCCTATTTTCAAATTTTAACTCGAACCGTCCCTCGTTTGGTTAAATATTGCACATGTCATCCCTCATTAGTTTAAATTTGCATGCTTTATCCCTTGTGAGACATGAAATGACTATTCTACCATTTTTTAATTATTTTTTCATTTATTTTATTTTTCTTACAATTATTTGTAAAATACAAAATAAATAAAAAAAACCCCACCCACCCTCTTTCCTCTAAATTCTGACACACATTAGAGTTGTCGAATCTACTATAACCACAACCACCGGAATCTGATGCAACCACCACCATCGGAATCTGATACTGCCATCACCAGCGGAAACACCAGAAGTAACTCATGTCTCGATCCAAGAACAATACACCGACAATGAGTAGTCTAACCCTCCACCATCGACACCACCTAGGGTTTCAAACCTTCACCTTCATCATCTCATTTCTAAGATCTCCCGGTGCCACCAAGAGCACCACTGGACTGGAGGCGCCACGAAGGAAGCATAACTATGTTCTTCGGGGGATTCGTTGACATGAAAAGACGTCAGTGACGGTGCTTGTATCACTCACGATGGTGGTTGTTATATCGATGCAAAGAAAGAGGGGGTGAAAAAGAGGGTTTGCCTGATTTTAAAGAAATAGAGGTGGAGCAAGGGTTTCGAACTGAGATGGAGGCAGAAAATAGCACTTTTGTTCTTCCATTTTGCTCCGACGATGGTAGCTCCGACGACCTAGATTCAACAGCTCCAAAACTGCCACCATCAACTCTTCCGCCTGCCAAAAATAAAAACGATCCACCATGTAGATTCAGCAGCTCCAAGACGCCACCATCTACTCCTCCAATGAATCCACCCATATCCTCCCCCCTCCCTCCTTCCCCAACTTTCAAGTCACCATCTCCTCCCATAAACCCAACGACAGAATCAGTGTACTAGGGCCACAAGGACAACAACGTCTGGTTGCTATTTGTGTATGGAACCAACATCCCGGTGCTTCCTTTTTGCTCCATCAATGGTGGCTCCGGTGATCCAGATCCAACAGATCCAAAGAAAAAGATAAGAAAGATGAAGACTACTGGGTAGAAGGGATATGGGGAAACGGGAGGCAGAGGGGTGGTGTGTTTGATGGAGATATATTTTTTTTTTCTTTTTTTTTTAATTAAAATAAGATAAATAAACAAAAGAAAACTAAAAAAGAAATTATCAAGGGCAAATTAGTCTTTTTATGTTCAGAGGGACTAAACGCGCAAGAAAAAACAAACATAAGGACAGTCCGAGTTAATTTTTCAAAATAGGGACTAAACATGCTTTTGTGCATATGCACGAGGGACGGATGGTGTAATTTACCCTAAATAAAACTTGGCAGACTTTGTACATTAACTAATAAAAAATCGTCATATGGAGAAAACTAAAAAATCGTCATATGGACAAAGCTAAAAAATCGTCCTATGGATAAAAGTGACAAATTTTGATAACCTAAAAGACTTGCATATTTCAAAAGGCCCTACCATTTTTCATTATTGTGCACCATTTAGTTAATAAAATTAATAAGTTATGTAGCAGAACTTATAAAAGTTTATTGTCAATATATTGGATAACTATAATCAATGCCCAAAGTCATAAGGAAAGAAAGCTTAAGAAATAGAAGCAATTTCCATCCACAATAAATGTGCCTCGATGACAAATCTGTCCTGACTTAGTTAAATATATAATTTATACCCAACTATCGAATATAGAGTCAAGTCAAAAAACTATAAATAGGATAACTATTGATACTGTCAGCCCATGGGCCCTTAGCAGACTCTCCAACAAACGGCCTGTTACACTCCCATACCAAACTGGTACATTTGGGCCCACTTCCCATCCCAAGCTGCAACACTCTCTCCCCTTGCTTCACTCGCTCTTTCCCTTCCATGTACGCCAATTCATACCACAATGAAGAAGATGACTGGTTCCCAAACCTATGTAACGTCATCAGTGCAGCCTCCACCTCCTCATCTTTTAACTTCATCTTTCTCCCTATCTCCATTATCATCGCCTTCCCAGACGTCGGCAAACAGTAATGTTGTATCACTTTCCTGAAGTTTGGTACGTAAAGTTCAGTCGATTTCTCGAGGAATTTCTTTCTAATCACAGAAAACCCGTATCGGATTTTCTCTTCTAATGGAAGAATAGAAGAACCCATAATGTGAAAGTTCGATCGAAGTAATTCTCCGACCACATGTAGTACGTCCTTTTTTAGCCTAAACCCTAAGAAGCCTTTGGAGTCTTCTTCACGGATTGCAGAGTTATACGCTATATCCTCGAACGCACCTTGGGTTCGAAGAGTGTAGAGTAATCTGTATTTGGATATCTTTTTGGCGGATTTCTTGTTGGTGATTAGAATCGCTGCACTGCCTGATCGGAAGAGGCAATTCAGGATCATCATTGACCGGTCTTTTCCTGCATACCAACCGTTTGATAAAATCTCTGTACTAAGAATTACAGCGTTTGAGTTCTTGTGAACTTTTAAAAGGTTCTGCGCCATGTCAACAGCTAATGCACTCGCGCTACACCCCATACCACTGAGGTTAAAGCTCTTTATATCTTCTCGCATCGAGTACCTGTTGATAATGATTGACGATAGCGAAGGAGTGGAACAATACCCGCTACAGTTGACTATGAGAATGTCAATGTCGAGAGAGGAGAGCTGTGTTTTAGACAGAAGGTCTTCAAAAACTGGGAACAGAACCATTTGAGCTTCGTTAATGGCATCTTCATGAGATGATCTTGGTGGAAGGTAGTGTAGAGCTGGAGGAATGCATGTCTTTTGACTTTGACCTGAAGTCAACAACACTCTAGACATGAAATCAACACTTTCTTGGTCAAGAGAGTGAACGATACGTGAGTGTTCAAGGAAAGACGAAAAGGGTACTCTCCAAAAGTTTGGTGGCTTAAGGCAAGAGTAGTCTACTAGGTAGATATCTGAAGACCTTGATACCATATAAATTTTAAAGATGATGAATACGAAACTAACACATAATACTAAAAAGTTAGCTTTTTGTTTTTGATTGAGAAAAAGGAACGCAAGTAAACTAAGGAGGATGATACACAACAAGATCTTGAAAGAAGTTGATAGAATACTTGTGCGATTTTGTGGAATGGATTTGTGGAGAAGCAGAGTGTCATGGGTGAACTTAGAAAGTTGCTCCATTTGTGTGAAAAGAAAAGAAAAGGTGTAAGATATGTGATGTTTTGAGGTCAAATTATATAGACTTGTGCATGGGAAGTGCAGAATGGGGTTTTTCTGGTTATCACATTGATGAGTTTGGTCGGGGAGGGTGACCAGAATGAATGCGAGTTATTGCAGTTTTATCAAAACAAATCATGCATTAATCATCATCGCTTATCTCAAACTAAAAACCCACACAACACAAGTAAATAAGGGGTTTTCTTTATAGTTTATATTTGGTAAAGAACGTTGGTAATATATATATATATATATATATATATATATATATATATATATATATATATATATATATATATATATATAATAGTAGTTATTATAAGGTAAAAAACATAGAAGATGAGTCTAGTAGTTTATGGAAACAAAGTATATTGAAAAATGAAAAATGAAAACATGCATATGCCCAAAAAGATGAGAACATCTTAAATGAAAAAGGGAAAAACTAGATAGCATGCATTAAAAAGCGGTAGGTAGCTTCTTACGAGTAATTTTGGCAGGGTGTATAAAGTCAAACTGTACATGCAGTATTAATTCATGAAGATTCAACCATTTGGGTAATCGGAATTCTACATATCCATCTCCCAACACGTATTAATCCCTCTTTCCAAGAACATGAACAAATCAAAATCTTAAATTCTAATTAAGTCTTCATTTCATTTAATTTGTTCATATATTATGAGACATAAGATATGTTAATGTTTTCTTTAGAGTGATGGGTATGGGCCCGTTTTGGGTTGTTATTGCTGAGGTAGAGACTGCTTAACATCGTGGTAACATGAGGAACACCGGCTTTCATTTGTTTCTCTTTGCTTCCCAGCATAACACCCGTCAAACCTATTTTTTCTTTCTTCCCTCTGCTTTTCTTCTTTCTTAACGTCGTATTTCATGAGGAACACCATCCCCACTTGGAGTGGTGAAGTGAAAGACAAAAATTTATGTTGGTGTGGCTTTGAACGGGCGTTCTTATTTCTTGAACCATACCGAGTAGTCTTAGGTCAACAAGGCTGGGGAATGGTAATGTGGGTGCCAAGGTCCACCTTAGTGCCAAAGAGAGAGAAACCGCATTGTTTTAACCAAATCACCATCTTCTATATATCGTCTAGACTCCAGATATTTTGATTACTTCTTTACACTTGAATGTTGTGAAAACGAAGATATTATGTTATATAGTATATGACTGGATAATGGTTTTGTTTCGGTTATGAATTATTCATGTTTGATTTTTTTGGAGACTATCAAGATGTGTTTAGCAACACACAATATAGCTAACACTATTGAAATAGCCATTAGAATTTGTCTTTTAAAACTAGGGAAAATGACTTATAAGTTTAACGAAGTTTCCAAACCGTTCAAAAAACATGCGAAAATGACTCTTGAGAGTAATTAACTTTTCCATTTGTACTCATTTGATCCCTTTTTTTTTGTATTCAATATACCATCGAACTTGTTGTTGGTGCTTACCATAGCCCTTTTGACATGTGATAGCCGGTCAAAGGGTTATGGTGAACACATACAAAAAGTTCGATGGTATATTGAGTACAAAAAAAAAGGAAAGCGACAAAATGAGAACAAACGCAACAGTTGGTTACCTTCCTGATTCATTTTCCCTTTACTCATTTACAACAAATCTCAATATCATCTCCTAGGGATATTAATGACTTTATGAGATTCATTCTTGCTTCTCTTCAAAACATAACATACGAAAGGACATTATTTATATATTTACAACTTTGTAATGCACTTGAATATTTATTAGGGGAATCTTGACTAAGCAGACGCATTTCATGACTACATTTACATTTGCAATCAAATGATTTATCGTATCATGGATTCTAGACAAGTCTACAAACGAGTGGAATCACAAGTGCTATGATTTTTGAGTTTACTTAGCTTTAAGATCGAACTCATGGGATTATATACAACATCAATATGTACAATATTAAGGTGATGTGTCTACAAAAGCAGCATGATATTGTACATATTGATGTTGTATCTTATCCCATGAGTTCAATCTTAAAGCTAAGTAAACTAAAAAATCACAACACTTGTAATTCCACTCGTTTGTGGACTTGTCTAAAATCCATGATACGATAAATCATTTGATTGCAAATGTAAATATAGTCATGAAATGTGTCTGCTTAGTCAAGATTCCCCTAATAAATATTCAAGTGAATTATAAAGTCATTAATATCACTAGGAGATGATGTGGGATTTGTTGTAAATGTGTAAAGCGAAAATGAATCAGGAGGGTAACCAACTGTTGCATTTGTTCTCATTTGGTCCCTTTCCTTTTTTTGTACTCAATATACCATCGAACTTGTTGTTTGTGTTCACCATAACCCTTTGACCGGCTATCACAGGTCAAAAGCCGGTCAAAAGGGCTATGGTAAACACCAATAGCAAGTTCGTTGGTATATTGAATACAAAAAAAAAGACCAAATGAGTACAAACGCAAAAGTTAATTACCCTCAAGAGTCATTTTCCCAAAAAACATCAATAATGTTTTGTTTGTTCAAGAAAATCCAACCAACTTAACATTTTGTCTAAAAAGGTTCAACAAATTCAAACCGTTCAAATAACCTTAATTATGTTTTGTCTGTTCAAAATGTTAAAAAAAAAAACCCAAGGAACTTAACATTTTGAACAAACAAAACATGATTGAGGTTTTGAACGGTTTGGAAATTTTTTGGTCTTAAAAATCATTTTTTCGACATGCTAATAAGCCACATCATATGGTTCTCTTCTTTGATTTCCGTAGAACTGAACAAAAATATAACTTAGTTGAATTTTTTTAAAGACAAAATGTAAAGTTTTTTGAGTTTTTTGAACTAACAAAACATATGATTGAAGTTTTTTGAATGATTTGGAAACTTTGTTGAACTCGTAAGTCATTTTCCCTTTAAAACCACATTATAGATTTTAACAAATCAATAATAGAAAACTATGTGGTTTCCAAATAAAAAGTAAAACCAATAAAAATTAAATATTCAACAACACTTTGTAGTGAGTCGGATCACATATCTTAAAAGTTGATGCCAACCAGTTCAACAAGAAAAAAATCATTCGACTTAGTGAGATTCCCAACCGGTTCAACAAGAAAAAAATCATCCGACTTAGGGTCCGTTTGTTTACCTCTTAATTGCAAAATTAAGAGGTAATGTCTTAAAAAATCAGATTCAAATCGTTTGTCTGCATCTTAATTTTTACCTCTTAAAATTATATTTGCCTCTTATTTTTTCAGATGTTGAACAGTGTCTGAAAATAAAAAAAAAAAAAAGTCGCGTCCCTTATTTTGCCCTAATACCCATTCGCCAGTTTTCTTCCGTTTCTTTTTCCTTCGCATATGCTCCTCCCGCTGTTCTCTCCACCAGCAAGATCCGACGTCGCCTTCAATTGAAAGTCCACCTGTCGACGCCTCTCCCTGGAACGCCGCCGCCGCCACCACCGATAGTCCACCCGCCTCCCGCAGACGATTCAGGTATGTTCTTCCTCTCACACATTTGCTTTTCTTCTTTCTTCTTTCTTCTGAAAATCATATTCCCTCCCGAACGAAATCAAAATCAACAACATTTTATGTTTATATGTTCCTGATTTGTTAAAAAAACGAAATTAGTTCATTATTATTGTTAAAAAATAGAAATTAGTTCCTGATTTGTTTAAAAAACGCAATCAGGTATGTTATAGCTTCTGAAAATCGTTTTTTTTTTTTTTTTTTTTTTTTGCTATTCTTCTATCTTCTTTCTTCAGAAAACTGATTTGTTGCTGCTCCTAAACCTTAAGAAAAAAAAATACAAATCAGCTTATGTATTTGTTCCTGATTTCTTCAAAAAATGAAAAAAAAAATGATTTCCTGTTATATGTTGATGTTATATGCTGATTTGTTAAAAAAACGAAAATTATTGTTAAAAAAATTGATTTCCTGCTGATTTGTTATATGCTTATTTGTTAAAAAAATTATTGTTAAAAAAATGATTTCTTTGTTAAAAAAATTATTGTCAATGGACATAATGAATGTTGACATGTTCTATTATTATGTTTGATTTCCCTGTTATGTTTGTAGTCTTTCCTGTTATGTTTGATTTTTTATATTCAATTGTTTGTGTTCAATGTTTTTATGTTTGATGTTATTTGTTCAATGTTGATGTTATATGTTGAGTTATACGTTGAGTTTGATGTTAAATGAACGAATCCTAATGTTTTCAATGGACATAATGAAATGTTGATATGTTCTATGTATAGGATTATATGTTGATGTTATGTGCATTTGTAATGCATTATATGTTGATGTTATGTGTATTTGTAATGCATAACTTGTTGCTAAAACATGCATTTTTTTGTTGAATTGATCAAAGAAATGGGAGAAAAGAAGGATAGGATTAGTTGGAAGGTAGAAGGTGTAGAGAAAACATTTCTTGAAGCTTGTTTACGTGAAGTTACGATCAATGGACGGGAAGGGAGTAGTTTGAAAGCACTTTCTTGGAGAAATGTAGCCGAAACACTAAAAATTGAACATACCTTTATTGCCGACCAAAAACAAATGAAGAACCGTTATGACTACCTAAAGTCAAAGTTTGGTGCTTTTTTGAAGTTAAAAAACAAAACCGGTAATGTGTACAATTCAACAACCAACACCTTTAATCTTTCCAAAGAAGAATGGGAACTAGAAGCGAAGGTATTTTGTTAATTTATAAAAAAATGATTTTCATGTTTTTAAATAATAAAATATTTTTTTTTCCAAACAGTCAAACAAACATGTGGATTCTTTGAGACGCACACCATTACCGTATCCCGACCTTTGCACACAGTTGTTTGAAGGCGCGACTGCGACAGGCATGCATAGTTAGGGACCAACTTCTACCCTTCCCCGTCCTACTCAAGACTCAAGCCACTATAGTTTGCATGACTTTGATGACATCGATTGCACTCAACATGAAACTGTAGGTCTCAGTGACGAGTCATCCACTCAATCAAAAAAACAAAAGACTACAGATACGGCAAAGAGTCAAAATAAAAGTAAAGACAAGGGTAAAGATAAGGGTAAAGATGCATCCAACTCAAGATTGCTTGAAATCGGTGAAGATATTACCACAGTTGCTAAAATATTTGTGGAAAAGCATTCTTCTTCAAATTTGGATGCGTGTATGGAAAAATTGGAGAAGTTAGGATGGGGAATATTTGATCCAAGATACACTACTGCTGTTGCTCTTTTTGGTGAAAGTGCGGATAAGAGGCACGTGTGGTTAACCATTGATCCAGCTATTTGTGAGAATTGGGTCAAGACTGTTGGAGCACATTACGAAATGTTTCGCTAAGTAGATTTTTTGAATGTTTTGATGGTTTTTTTTGGACAACTAGATGTTTGGTCTGAACTAGATGGCTTTTTTTTGGATTACTTGATGTTTGGTTTGAACTAGATGGTTATTTTTTAGATTACTTGACATTAATGACTTGATGTTTTGGATTACTTGATGTTTTGGATTATTTTATATTAATGGCTTGATGAATTTTTATATTATATGTTGTTAATATAATTGTTATGTATTTTCAAAATAACAGATTGCTTATGGATTCGGATGAAGAAATTGCATTTTTCATGTTACTATGTTGCTATTGGTTGAATCTAGCATTCAACAGAATTGGAAGGGCAATTGATAATGATTCGGAAATGAGTGGTCATCAACATACACAAGAATTGTTACATGGAACTTCTACACAATGTAAAAACCTGATGCGTCTTTCACGTGAAGCATATGTACTTTTATGCAATCATTTTAGACGAAATAATTGGTTGCAAAGTAGTAGGCATATAAGCGTTGAAGAAAAGATGGCTATGTTCTTAACTACTATAGCACATAATAAACGGTTCAGGATTATCAAACGAAGGTTTCAACACTCCACAGAAACAGTTCATAGATGCTTTCATGAGGTGCTAAATGCAATGATGATTTTTGCAAAAGAAGTTATAGTGCCAACGAATTCTAATGCAACTGTGAATTCCTCAGAGAGGCATCGTAAGCTAAAAGAAATCTTTCCTGGAGCAATAGGTGCGCTAGATGGAACTCTTGTACATGCAGTCGTGCCTGCTGATCAACAAACTCGCTATAGGGGAAGAGGAAAAGGTGAATGCTTTCAAAATGTTTTAGGAATTTGTGGTTTTGATATGATGTTCACATTCGTATGGGCCGGTTGGGAGGGTATAACACATGATTCGCGAGTTTTGAAAGAAGTTGCATGTAACCCGACTTCAGGCTTTCCGTTCCCTCCTCCACGTTTTTAATTCTTTTTAAGATTATTCTAAAATACGATATTAAATTTCTTTATATAATACTTCCTTTACTCATGTGTACAGATAAATATTACCTTTGCGATGCTGCATACACCAACACTCGTGGATTTATGACTCTTTATCGCAACATGAGGTATTGGTTAGCCGACTATCGACGGCGACGTCCGTTAACTAAGGAAGAAAAATTCAATCATGCACATGCGCAACTCAGAAATGTTATTGAACGTGCTTACGGTGTTTTGAAGGCGAGATTCCCAATTCTAAAGCGAATGGCCCCTTTTTCTTTTTCAGTGCAAAGAGATATAGTCGTTGCTTGTTTTGCAGTCCATAATTTCATAAGGAAATGCGATATTCATGATGAGTTATTTATGGCGTTCGAGGAGAACAATGCTCAACCACAAGGGGGACAAAATGATGTCGAAAACGTACACGATATGGAATGGGGTTCACAAGGAAATGAATACATGGATAATTTACGTGACCAGATTGCGAATCAATTGGGGTGAAATTAAATTTGTAGGATTTCATTTGGATTTTAGTATGATATTGTGGATTTAAAAATATTTATGTTTGATTTGGATTTGTGTTTAATTTTGATTTATGCTAAATTTGGATTTTATATGGTGTTTATATATTTTTTAATACATAATTAAGAATTTTTATTAGGTTATTTTCTAAATAAACAGTTGAATTTAATAAAAAATAAAACAGAAGGGTAAAATGGTCATTTTAATAATTCAGCAGAACAATTCAGAGGTCCCAACCAAATAGCATGTTTAACATTCAGCTCTTAAAATTTCAGACCCTCTTAGAAATTCAGACCTTTTAAAAATTCAGATCTTAAAAATTCAGATCCTGCCAAACAACCCCTTAGTGAATGAAAACGTGGTTACGAGAGAGGTTAAATCAGGAAAATACCTTTTTTTAAATATAATTTTGAATTCCAAATCGGGCTATCATATTGCTAACAGGCCCAATTGACAATGTGTATAAACAAATCGTGAATTTGTTGTACATCATCTTTACATAACAGTTTCATAAAACACCAAGTAACTTTTATATAAGAAGTTAGGACTCTATAAAAAGTCTCAAATTTTACATGTATAGTTGGGAAAAATCTTAATATACATATTTTTTTGGTTTTATCATAACTTTTTCGCAAAGTTATCACTCTTGCTCTCTTAACCAGTTTTATGGTTAAATCCGTTGATTTTTTTTGCAAAAATTGACACTATTATTTGCAAAAAATTGTGGATAAGATCGAAAAAAATTTATAACTTACCCATTGCAAATAAACTCATGCCCTCAATTTCAACCTCATGTCGCCGGAAAAGTCTTGCCGAATAATCCTATTGTCATAGAAAAAGCATAAAATTAGGACATGTAGTGTAAGTTGAAACTTTTTGAAAAGATGGTGTATGCTGGAAATTTTTTGGATCTCATCCATAATTTTTTACAAACTACAGGGATCAATTTTGCAAAAAATATAATAGAATTAATCATAAAACTGGTTAAATAGGCTAAAAGGATAACACTATGTAAAAGTTATAGATACAATCAACGAAAAAAATATTAAAGTTTTTTCCAATTATACCTGTTTAACTTGAAACCTTTATAGTATTAGTCCTAAGAAGCTATACATAAAATTGTTTCATTGTTGTGTGAATCTAGGTGCCTTCAAAGTTGTGGAGGTGCTTCTCCACGTGCAAATTTTGTATTTATATATGTTTTATTGACATCATAGTTTTATAAATGTTTTTTTAGCATTTGTGCATATCATTTTAAATTTAAGTAGGATTAGACTATTATTTTTGGCATATTTTTTTTTCTTTTTAGTAGGAAATAGTAAGTTATTACCCCAACTTTGCGTATCTATGAAAGTATAGGGAGCAGACTTATAAATATACGAAAGTCTTGTGGTCAAATTATGAAACCAAAAAAGTGTAGGGACGAAATACGTCAATATATTGCGGGAGTAGCACGGGAGTCTTAATATGCTGATTTTCTATTAAATAGGGATTATTTTTATGATTTTTTAAAACACATAAATCATTTAAATAAAAAAAATGCATAAAGGCCTTTTTTATAAATTAAGTGGACAATTTTTGTAATTTATTATCCTAACAAAAACCAAACATACTAACATACGGAAATTTTAAACATATAAACTGTTTTTGAAAAAAAAAAAAAACTTCACAATGATGTTTTTTCTTTAAATTACAAAATTATAGAGGCTAAATATGTCAATAT